GGATCGACAGCTACAAATTTGAGGAATCAAACGGTGTCAAAAAAATCCGCAGATTTTCAAAAATAAACCAGGTAAACAATCTCCTAATTGAACGTTGGCCACCAGTTTAATGAAGTTGCCGGCCAACCAGCCTGCTGCAGGTCGCGTCCCGCCGCAAAAAAATTTTTAACACAAATTGGAAATGACGACGCCTATATAAGTAGATAAAAATAAACTCAGCACAGGATCTTGAAATGGGATTGCCTACAAGTCGTGTATTTCGTCATGAAGGCAAGCTATTCCTTAAGGCACCATTGCACTTGAGCGTGCCCACCTTCAAAAATGCTTTTTTTGATCATCAACTTATCTTTTCCGCTCAGGACTTCCGACACCTCTGACACATCTGGTTAGTTTCAGGCTTGTTTATTTAGTTCTTGCTGACTTTCTATAGTCTAATGGTAAAATCTGCTTCAATCTATTTAGCATTTCACAAAGCCACACGAATTACAGCGGCTGGTGTAATTGACTGTGCAGTCAATCTGAAAGGTTTTCAGATCGACATCCCATGCAATCCCTTTACTCATACTTCTTAATCATTTTCTGGCTCATCCAGAAATACTGTTTGACCATTTTAGTCATGTACAAAAGATTGAGAAGAGGTGATTGAAGAAAAACTATCAACTATATAAGCTATATAGTTGAATGGAGGTAATAGAAATTAGAAAATAGCTTGCTGAAGAACTGTTGTTTTAGTTAGTGCTGTGGTCAGTAAAGACAAGAAGGATACGTTACTTTTTTACTTGAAAGTTGAAGATCTTGTTTTGGGGATTCCGAAAAGTACTAAATTGTTCTCAGTTATACCGTCGGAAAGCCGGAAGAGGCCAGGTCTTGCACTGGCCAGGAATTGCTTGTATTTTACCGGTGAATTAAGAGCAGAACGCTCGATGGATGCTAGAAAGGAAGTGTAGAAGTATGAGCTATAAAGCGATGGAAGCAAGAATGACGCTGTACTTTATCTGCAAAAAAATTGAGACCCTCAAAAGTAAAATTAGATTAGAAAAGAAGCCGTATGCGAGTGCGGATATCTTGGACAGATGTTGTTAATGGAAATTAAAAATTTTACAGCGGAGAAGAGAAACATTGTCAAAATTTGTTACATCACTTCAAAAGAGTTTCTACTTTGGATAACGGCAGGTTAGAAATAAATCTTCCTGTGTGGATGATGTCAGAGCTGTTAACACTATTTAACTATGATTCGTACGACAATTTCCAGTCGTTGGTAAAGTGGCGAGCGCCATTGGATTTGGATATATAGTTGAACAGAACCCTTCCTTTCTTTTCTTCTACTGTTGGAGTCGCTAAGTTTTTTGATCTTGTTTTTAAGTTCGGTTTTGAACTTGTACTGTTCGTTCTACTTTTAGTGCTTTACATGTTTAATTTTTACTGATTAGCATACGAGGACCAACGTATGGTTCCCAACAAGTGCATAAGATCACTGCCGTTGCTCTTCCAGACTTTTCAGACAACCAAACTTAAATATTCAATACAAAGATTCTCGTA